CAAATTCATAGAAGATGCACTCTTTTGTACCAATCAATTCGGGTTGTCTTATGCTGACCCGGATCAGAAATGGATAATCCGAGATCACCTCATCTCATTGCTTCAAGATTTTCCATTTTTAAAACCTTCTGTAGATATCTTCACACACAACAATGGCTCTGAGGTTAAACTTTTGAATGCCACTGGTGATGTTAGGGTTTCTGAGAATACACCTCTTATCCCTTTAATCATTTGGCTGCATGAGTTTTACCCTCAAATGCCTCCTATTGTGTATGTTTCTACAAATTCTGTGAATTTGTTTTCTTTAAATCATCCATTTGTGGATTCTTCAGGTGCCATTACTTCTTCGTACCTCGAAAACTGGCAGTTTCCCCGGTGCAGTCTATCGGACTTAGTACGTAACTTGATCAAGCTTTTTTCTCATAATCATCCTCTTCATTATTCCGGTAATTCGAGTTCTAGTTCGAACCCCTCTCTCGTTTCAAAAATGGAGGCAACGGATCTACTTGTGTGCTCGCTTTACTATGACATGTTGGCTATTAGGCCGAAAATTGATCTAGAAATTGAATTCTTTTCAGCCCTTCAAGTGGAAATGATCAATAGATTTGATGTTGCAGATAGCATCCTTATTGGGCTCGAGCACGAAAGAGATAATCTGAAAAGAGGAATAGAACAAATATCTGATGAATCTGATAAGCTGTTGAATTGGTTAAAAGTTCATGACAAGAATTGGGATTATGTTGAGGATGCATTTGAAGTTGAAGATAAGAAGTCAGAAATTCTTCTTGATTGCAAGGCAGCTGATTATGCCACGGAGGATTTGATGTATGCATTGGACAAAGCAGTTGAAAATGGGGCAATCAGTTTTGATTTTTACATTAAACAAGTAAGACTCTTGGCTAGGGAACAATTTTTACATAGAGCTAGGGTATTGAAACTTGAAAGGTCCAAAGAGTATAGAATTTCTTGATGTAAAGTTTTCGAATTTTCACAGAAATTTTGTTATCTTAATATAAGAAAATCATGACTTACCATGGTTAATTGAAGTCAATTTAAAAGGTCGTTTGTGTGTTTTGTTTGTCGTGTTTGCTTATTGTCGGTCTAATTGCTTCACGTTCTCTTTGAAGTATATGTTTTATCTTATTCATTATTAAATGAACACACGCGGTCACCCATCAATGAATAAGAAAATGTTTGTAAGTAGACCCTACAAATTAGAAAACTCGTCAAGTACAGTATTTTTTAGCATATTTGGTACAGGATGACAGCTGTCTTCATATAATTTGCTGTTGCTAAAAACTGTTTTTAACAGCAGTCAATTACCTGTCTTCCTATACAACATTTGTCACTGTTCCTCCATTTTTGTTGGGTTGCCAATTTTGACAAAATAATTTGCTTGTAAGTAGACCCTCCATATTTGTTTGGGTTGCCAATTTTGACCGAGTAATTTGCTTTAATTTGGATATTAATACAGTTGTGATTGGATAGAAGGACTATAGGGGCCAGTCTGTTTTCAAATGAATATCTGAAGTATATATATCTAAAGAACACACAAGAATTGGTTTTCTTTGAAAATCCTATAATTTGGAATCTATGATTCCAATCTTGCAAAAACTAGATCGAACCAATCCATACGGAAGAGTATTTTGGAAATCAATGACACTCACTTAAGACAAACCTTGTTGAACTAAACCCTCGTTTGATTCTCATTATTTACCTATTAAAATAAAAAATATGATCATTATCCATCACATCAAACTGGCATTTTGACTTTCTATCTCTTGTACGGAACCCGTAACGATTATATTTCTCATTTTTACTTTTACATTAATGTGTACCAAATGGGGCCTAAAAAACAAAGCATTGTATAAAAAAATTCAAGCAACTTCATGCTTTAAAAAAAAAGGTAGCTTTTTAGTTACTCTTATAGTGTATTTGATTGACATGGAAAATATCACCTAAAAAAAAAATATTTTCCTTCTTTTGTGGAAAATAAAAACCACCTCCATCCAAGGAAAACGTTTTCTTTAAAAATAAGGAAAATTAAACGTATTTTCAAAAGTTGGAAAATGTTTTCCATGGAACAAATTAGCAATCAAATACCTCAAGTAGGAATTTGGATGAAAAATTGATATTTTTCATGGAAAATAAATGTAATCAAACACTCTTAATGATAGCCAAATGTGCTTAAGTATTGGAATGCGGAAGCAAAATTATCTAGAAATTAAAAAATTTCTTTAATTCAATAAATAAGATAGTCTAAACGTTAACGTGTATGTTATATCAAGAATAAAAAATTCGAACCTTTACCTAAATTCAATGATAAATTTTTCAACAAATTAATAGACATGCTTTTCCAAAAAAAAAAAAAGTAGCTTTTTATACCTTTTTTTATGGTATTCTCCAAATTCTATTGGTGGATGGGCACATTTTTTTTATTAAATTAAGAAACTAATTCTTGAACTGGACAATTGAATAAAGCAAGAAAAATATTTTTCTCTCTCCAAATTTAAACGCTATGAAATTATATATTATGATTGTTGTACAATTTCATAGAATATCTAGTTTCCATCTAATTTCTATTTATAGATATGTAATAGTTACAATTCTTGTACAATAATAATCACCATTGAAATAGGTGGTCTAATTAAAATTCAAGTATGAATAATTAGAGTCTAAATCCACTTAATTTATACTCAATTACATGTGTAGTTCTAGAACTTCAATTACAATTATAATTAAGTTTACAATTTTCATAGTAATTACAACTAAGTAGAAAACTTCATTGTAATTACAATTAAACCCAAAATTATTATAATTACCGTAATCAAGTTCTAATATTTTATGAAGCTACCACGGGAGATCTAATCGAACATATATTATCTTAACTTCAATAATTAGATCATGTTTAGATCTCTTCTTTGCATTTTTCACTAAAGGTAAAATACTGAACTCTCGGAATATATAAACTCATATAAACCAATAAATCTATAATACTTTTCCACTGACGTGCCGTATATGTATTATGTTCCCATCTAAGATCCGAAAATTAGGTACAAACATTAATAGCAGTTTTGTTGGAATATAGTGGTGTTAATGAAATCGGATTATAACATACCGTATATGTAGTTTAGATACCGATTTTGATCATATCGTATATGCAATATACCGTATATGTAGTTTAGATATCGATTTTGAGCATACCGTATATGCAACTTACCATATATGCTTTTAACCGTATTTGTACATATTGTTTTACCCATTTCAGATATACCGTATTTTCACATACCGAATTTGTACTTACATATATCAAAATTACAATAATTTTTTTCAGATTGTTATTTTTAACATAAATAGAAATTAGCACAGATTAATTTTAATAAATATAAATAAAACGATAACATAATAAAACTGCAAATTATATGAATAAATTATAAATAAATAAATTTGCAAGAATAAATTGCGAAGTGTAATCACAGTTTCCTTAAAATAGATCCGTCTTCTCATCATAAGTACTTGAGGTCTAATCTGAGCGTCTATTTTTTAGGATAAAACGGTCAAACTAGTAGAATTTGAGCACCACAGATACTACTCCAACGAACTGAGTAGTATCCAAACAATATTAGCACAATGACGACGCTGAACAGAATCAAGATGCAGATAGAAAAAAAAATATGCAGAATGTTTTTCTCCTATTTTCGTGTGTGTTTTGGAATTGCTGGAGAATGATAACTTATATAGATAAATCTACCATTAACTTTATGGCAATAATATTGGAGTCACTTCAGTTCCTTGGAGTTCGAAAATTTCAGAAACTCAAAAGTCAGTGGAGAAAGCAAGAAAAAAATTGCAAAATGTGGACACTTCAAACGGGCCAATTTTTGTTCCATTCGGTCCGATATTCGTGTATGTAGGTCGCGTGCCCGCACACAAGTTCAAGATCTGAAAGCTATTTCGGTCCATGATTTGCACTCCCTGCGCGCGCACGTGGAGAGAGCCTCTATGCTACACACGACTAAATCCTTTCACTGTGCAACCATATTTAAAGTAGTTCTTACTTTTCATATTTTTCCTAAGTGGTACAAACTCAATTTTTCCCACATAAACCATCTTCCAATGATCAACTTGGAGCTTCAATTTCTCATTTACCTGATCATCAATCTTGGCAAGTAAATATATGGTTTTGATGCTCTCACGGAGGAGAACATGGATCAACTTTGATTTTCCAAATTGGACCAACAGGTCCCATCGAAAAGTGAGCCATTTTCTTATATTTTCCAACAAGTTTTGCCCTTCTAATTATTCTCACTAATTTAATTATCTTTTTTTCAACAATCCTGTGAACTAATCACAGATGTTGAAGTTTAACCGTTACTGAACACTGAACTCAGATTTTGACTGTTCAACAGAAAAACTTAAGTAGTCACTTTACCTATTTTTTAAGGTGACGATTCTTGACACGAATTTATGTTATTTACTTTACTCATTCTTAAGCTCCCAACTCGCCGAGATATTTGACCAATCAAATTTATCTCACCTATTGATAAATCAAAGGACCACTAAAATCAGGAAAAGATATACATAACCCTGTCGATGGATTTAAATGAAATACACAATGGTCAAGTGAAATTTAATTCTCTACGCGGTTATGATATAAAATTAAACTTGACAAGTGGTTCGCTCAATACATTTCAAGTGTAATAGTATAACCTTTAACTATTTCTTTGATAAGGACAAATCACAAACCCGAATATTAAATTGGTCAACATTATAACTCTCTAGTACAAGGTGACACCTTTATACATTGATTGCAAACAAATTATTTATGATCAAAATATAAATTGTGTTCACGCTGTACTTATCAATATAAGTACACAACTTATATTATCACAAGTAATCATATACACTTTAATTCGCATACTTAATAATACCACAATTTATTTATTATAGATTATTATTTTATCATAACAAAATATACTATATGGGTACACAACCCAACACTAAGATCGTTCAAATTTGTAAGGATATGATGAATTGATGTTGCTCAAATCAACAGGAAATTCATCGATTTCATCACTCCATGGATTCATTTTCTCTCTATCAACGTTCTTGATTGCCTTCCAGACCACACTACTGCATTTAAAACCCGACCCGAACGATAATTGCCACAAAATATGACCCTTTTTGATCCTTCCTTTAGCCTCTGCATATGCCATTTCATACCAAACAGTGCTACTAGAAGTGTTTCCATATCTGTGAAGTGTCATCCTAGCAGCCTCCATCTGTTCATCACTAAATCCCATTTTCTTCTGAAGTTCATCGAGTAAAAATTTCGCGCCGAGGTGTGGGAAAAAATGATCAAAAGCCCTAGTGAATTTAGGTTTACAAGCCATGGAGTTTGCTAAATGCAAGTGTTTTACAAGAAAAGTATTTATTGCATAGAAAATTTGTTCTGATAAGGGAAGGACTAATGGAGCAAGCCTTTTTATGTTGGATTGAATAGCATTATCTGCTGATATTACAAGATCTTTGGTTACTGATATTCCTAAGTTTCCTTTATCATCTTCTTCTTGGAAAATGCAGTTGTATGAAGAGTCACAACTTGCCATGTGTGTTTGGACAGTGTGGAGGAGTTCGTACTTGGATGACCCACGGTCTGATGCCACGTTCGAAAGAAGGATAGCGGCCCCACCAACTCGAAAAGAAGAACAGACGAGGTTTTTAGGCCGATCGTTGCCAAAATAGAAATTTTGGGTCATGTTTTCCGTACTCACTACCAAGATGTATGTGTGTCGATGCACCTAATGAAGACAATGAATAAAGAATTAGTATCAGCGATCGACTGGTTTCAAAGAATCACAAATTTTTAACATTTTCGAAGCTTGTTCTAGAGTTTCTGAAGAATTTCGGATTCTGAAATTTGCTCGAAATGGAATAGAACTTTCTGTGTAACCTAGATGGCCACGAAAAGGGATTAGTAACGTACCTGAAGGAGTTGTCGGGCGAGTCCTATAGCTCTGAGTCCAGCACCGCATCCCATTCCAGTAAGATTATAGCTCAAAATGTTATCTCTAAACTTGTACCTATTGGCAATCATACTAGATAAAGATGGTGCCACATTGAATATGCAACAATTCACCACCAGTATGCCTATTTGATCACATTTTATCTTCGTTTTCGCCAATAACTCATCTATGGCGCCAAACATCACCATTTCTGCCTCGCTCCTTGCGGCCTCCAAGCATGGCTCTGGTGGATCTCTCAATAAGGCCGGCGGCCCATAAGTCGAGTCGCCTAGTCCTGATCTAGCCAAAAGTTTTTCCATGAATTCTAACGTCTCTTCATCAAAATGGGAATCAACAAAACTCCTCATTTGATTCATAAAACGTTCCTTGGAGCACTTTAGACTGCTTGGCGGTTTATAACAAGCAATGTCTACTAAGAAAACTTGCAAAGGCTTTTTGAAGAAAACATACACAATGAGTATCAGTATGACTAGGCACAAAGGAGGTATCACTAAAACAAGCTTATTAGACTGGTCTATAATTGTCGTAGAGAGGTCAATCCAACGAAAAATGATGGAAATCATGTTGCCTCAAATTTATTAGTCGACCGCTCTGCCACTGAACTATTTAGGGAAAAAAGACTTAAGGAAACCGAATCTCGTTTGCCTATTATCTTCTTTCTGAGAAATGAAAGAGGCAATGAGGTTTAGAAAGGGAGTTTGGCTTATTATAAAGAATGAAAAATCACCGTGCAAGAGAATATGAGTCAACTTATGCATGCCAGCATTGTCATTAATGCGAACCATTTTTCCTATCTCGCTCTTGTCAATTTCTTTACTATTTAAGATCTTATCAGTTAGTTGTCATTTCTTGATTGCTAGATCTCGTTTACTAGTTTTTATTCTTTTTCCTCGAGTGACTGTCGAAAGATTATTTATGAAGAAGACTTTGAACGAAACGTTTTTCGATTCAAACAATTAAACTAGAGTTTATTTCGAATTTTTCTCATTTATCAAGAATGTACCCGAGTTCCTTCTCACCAAAGTGGTATCAAACCACGGTTTTGACTAGGGCTGATTTTCAGCGATGGTAGTAGTACAGTGAAATGTGAACTCATAAACCTTATATGTGCACAATTTTTATTAGACATTAAAAAAAAGCTTATATTTGCATACGACCCCTATCCCGCGTACCCGGCCTTTCTCTTCTCTGCTAAAGAATTTCCACATATCTCATTTATGCAGCCAACGGCTGGCTGCAGAATTAATGAATGCCTGTGTATAGACACAAATAATTGCACTCGCAAGTGGTTCAATTGCCAATATATGCTGCCATTGCTGAAGACACTGAGGGCCAGAGAAACCATATTTTATTATCAATTTGAACTCTGCATTATTGTATAAATTATTTTAATAAGTTTATGAAAGCACAGAGATTATCATTTCATGCATAGTTTAGAACTTATAGAATGTGGAAAAATAATAGTTATATTAATTGCAACTAATGAATGGATGGCTCGAGTACTGATACTCGATCCAAATTTGTGGACATATCCACATCCACAATAAGTGAAAGAATAGTTCTGCCCAGTGCTACAAATGTCTTTGAATTATTGGTGTTTAACGATAAGACTGAAATTAAAGATAATGCTCATTGTCTATCAACTGAAGATAATGCCATCAGCCTGGTTGGAACGTGTAAAATGCTGACATGCTTGGTTGTAAGGGGATTTCTTGGTCATCGACTCATCTTTATCCTTTGTTGATTTGCATGGTCTCCTCTTGTTGTCTCTTTGATACGAATATTTGTTGGGCTGGGCCTTCCTAACTTGGGCTTAAAATGGCCCAAAAGGAAAAAATGAACGATAGATATAGATAATCAACTATTTATGTTGTTCAAAAGTAGTCTTATATATGCATACAATCTTTAGCCATTTGTTTGGCCCATTAAAATTTTAATATATTTTTCTCTCTCTTCGTTTCAATTAGACATTCTTCAATAAAATAATATTATATGTAAATTAAAATTTTTTCCTTCTTTAATTACATAATCTCCTAAAAATTACTGTTATGAAATGCATTATTTTCAAAATCTCATTAAAATAGGGAGTAAACAAGGGCTTAGTAAGTAGAAAAGATACCCGAATCTAAATAGTTCTTGCTTAAATTAAACCTACTAAAAATTGACATAAATGAAGCTATAAATCCAAACAATTTATAAATTCTTTCCTTACATATTCGTGTCTTAGACTTATATGTCTAGACTTTCTATTATATACTTCGTTATATGCTCAAGCTAAAGTAGCTTGACTATCACACAAAATAGGTATGGAGGAAATATCCTTTATGTCTAAAGGTATTTCATATAATAAGTCCTTCAGCCGCTCTGCTTCTTTCCCTGTTTCAGCCAAAGTTACAAACTCTGATTCCATAGTTGAATGTGTAATGCAAGTTTGTTTCTTAGACTTCCAAGAAATTGCACTTCCTCCAAGAATGAAAATCCATCCAGATGTGGATTTATTTTCTCCTGCACTTGATATCCAACTTGCATCGGTATATCTTTCTAATATTTTAGGATACTTGGTATATTGTAGCCCAAGGTTTTTGGTTTTCTTTAGGTAACCAAGAACCCTACCAATGGCTTTCCAATGTTCCGAACTTGGATTGCTAGTAAACTTACTTAGTTTACTTACAGCAAATGCCACATCAGGTCTTGTACATTGTGATGTGTATATAAGACTTTCAATTACACTTGCATATTCTATTTGTGCAATTGCTCTACCTTCATTTTTGATTAATTTTATATTTGGATCTATAGGGGTATTTGCCCCTTTAATGTTCAAATGTTTAAATTTATTTATCACATTATCAACATAATGTGATTGATTTAACGTAAAACCCCCACTATCCTTCTTTACTTTGATTCCAAGGATAGTGTCTACTTCTCCAAGATCTTTCATTTTGAAAGTAGAGGATAGAAATCGTTTTGTTTCTTTGATTCCGTCTATATTGTTACTAATGATTAGCATATCATCAACATATAGACACACTAATGTGATTATATCACCATTCACTTTTGTGTAGAGACATTTATCTACTGAATTGTGATTAAATCCAGTTGACATTATTTTAGGGTTAAATTTCTCATGTCACTTTTTGGGAGCTTACTTTAATCCATATAAATATTTAATTAATTTGCACACCTTATGTTCATTTCTCGGTAGAACAAATCCTTCCGGTTGTTCCATATAGACCTCATCTTCGAGATCTCCATTTAAAAATGCCGTTTTTACGTCCATTTGATGAACATATAAATCATACATAGATGCTTATGATCTCATATTTGTCCCGAACCCAAATAGTTTACTCATAAATTTTAAAACCAGAGAAAATATCACAAGAGATAAAGTATTTTACTATTTTGTGAAAAAAAAATCAATTTTCAAATATTATTAAATGGGCCTTGGGTTATCCCTTAATAATTTGACGACGTGAAAGCCCAAAATCGGCCCATCACTTTACGTCTGCTGTTTAGTTGCTGCTTCGCAACATAGCGCATTTCTAATAGGGAAAACTATGCAGATTTCCGTGAAAACCCTAATCGGCAAGACAATCACTCTCGACGTTGAGAGTTCTGACACAATTGATAATGTCAAGGCCAAGATATAAGACAAGGAGGGCATCCCACCGGACCAGTAGCGGGTTAGTTTCGTCGAAAAATAGTTGGAGGATGGCAGAACCCTAGCAGACTACAACATCCAAAAGAAATCTACTATGCACCTCGTCCTCCGTCTTCGTGGCGGCAGAACTTGGAGGATTCCTTTCATTGCTAATCACTTGGTGAAAAAATTTTTGCAACTTAACCAAAAGGCGGAGAAAGAATTGATAAAAACTTGGTCCTGGGGTTTTACTATTATTCGTGAAATGGTGGGCCATAGGATTGTTGTTTACAATGGTAAGGAACACATGCCTTTTGGTATATCGAAGCAAATGGTTGGCCATAAATTGGGAGAACTTCGTCCTCGTTGTCAAGCAAGAAGAGAAAGAGAAGTCCAGCAGAAGAAGAGAACGAAGACGAAATGAGTCAACAAGGAAACGTCGGGATCCGATTTTTGTTAACTGTATTGAAGACCATAACGTCGTATGCTGCCTTCAATTTGATAAAGATTCAAGTTTTCATGATATTTTTGTCTTAATATATCTCATTTTGAAGTACTTCCTAGTTATGAATAAAATTGTGACATTGATGCAGTTGTGTCTTTTGCAATTGGATGTTTTCAATTGACATTGAGAATGAAGTCCTCGAGATAATATACTTTCCAGTTAGAATGAATTTAAATTTTTACCATCTCACTGTTTAGAGCTTGTCTTTGCCCATCTTAATTTTGTTGTACGTTTCGAATGTAGAGAAAACTGATTATGTTAATTTCTGTGGCTGTGGGATTGTTAGATTGTTCGTGAATCCTACAACAGTCAAATTGTTTGAATTTATTGCATAGGCTCCTAAGGTGATTCATCTATCTTTAGACATACTTCTATTTCCAAATGATTGCTAGCTCAATTGATACAAATTATTCGGAATGTCACAGTGTGATTCCCAAATTTTCTGCTTCAAGGCTCACTCAAGTTGACATGTTATTGAGTCATGTTAGCATAGGGGTATTTAAGTCATTTTACACATTCTAGTCTTAGCCTTAGCCTCTGTATCGATGTATATATATGTGTGTGCTAGTGTACCTATATTCATTCAAGCAGCTGAAGTAAATAACAAAATTTTCTCGCCATTTTCTTTTCTCTCCAAGTTCCAGAACCTCCTTCTTCATCAACTCTTCATGGTATCAAAGTAGTTAATCTTCCCTGTGATGGTGAACGAATCTAGTGCTCAAATAGAGATCCAAAGCCAGATAAAGCAAGCTGGTTCATCAAATAATTCATCCGCTATAGAATTAATAACAGGAGATGTGATTTCTCTTGTCAACCGACTTGTTAGTGATCCTAGCAGTCCGTATTATCTCCATTATGGAGACAACACAAGTATGCAGCTCATCTTTGTCACACTTACTAATGAGAATTATGCAACGTGGAGTCATGCTATAGTTATGGCATTAAGTGTGAAGAACAAGAAGGGATTCATTGACGGATCGATCATCAAACCTCCTTTGGATGATCCTCTCTATGGTGCTTGGAGAAGATGCAATTATGTGGTCTCTTCTTGGATTATCAACTCCATTCCAAAGGAGTTATACCCCAGTGTGATGCATAAGGACTTTGCAAGGCAAATCTGGATTGAACTCAGAGATAGATATAGCCAAAGTAATAGACCTCGCATATATGAATTAAACAAGCAAAAATTGCTTCGATTACCTAAGCAAATAACTCTGTCAATTCGTCCTTCAATCGATTCAAAGGACTATGGGAAGAACTAGAGAATTATAGCCCAGAAGCCAACAATGCCAGATATCAAGCTGAAGATCAGGTTATGCAGTTCCTTATGGGTCTAGATGAACATTTTTCAAATGTGAGAAGTCAAATATTGTTAATGGGTCCACTACCTTTACTTAATAAGGTATTTGCATTGATTTTGCAAGATGAGAGGCAAAAGGAAATTGTTGCTAAGAAGCAACAACAATTTGATGCAGCAGCTTTTGCTAGCAAATTAATTCCCAAGTCCAGTGTTCAAAGAGCTAATACGTCACAAAAAAAGGAAAGGCCAATGTGTAGCTACTGTGGAATGCTTGGGCATCTTAAAGGGAAATGTTACAAACTGGTTGGTTATCCCTCTGGGCACAGATTTGCTAAAGAAAAAGGTCCAGTAGCAAATGCAGTTAGTTAATCCCCTCGGGTTGACAATTCACATATGATGAATTCCCTTTCCAATCTCACCATCATGCCAGATCAATGTCAACAAATTCTGACTGTATTGGAACCACAGTTGTATGGACAGTTTCCAACCTGCAACCAGTAGCCTCAAGATGTGATATCTTCTTCTTCTTCAATACCTGATGCATTTGCATTTTCAGTTAATCATAAATACTCCAATAGTCCCGCTCTTGCAGGTAAGTGGATCATAGACACAAGAGCTTCAGAACACATGGTTTGTTCTCTTCAATACTTAGCTACAGTAAATGATACGGTTAATGGATCTGTTATGCTACCTGATGGTAGCACTGTTGCTATTACACACATAGGGATAGTGAAGTTATCTGATGACTTGATTTTGACCAATGTTTTGGTTGTGCCATATTTAAGTTCAATCTAATATTTGCCACCAAATTGACACTCAAGCACAAATATTTCTTAACATACGTTCACAATTATTGTTTTGTTCAGGATCTTTTGATATGGATGGCGATTGGGGTAGTCAACCTTGAAGGTAGACTATATCATCTTTAGCATCCTAAACACCAAGGCAATGAAGGATCTCTACACCATAATTCTGTCTTACCTTTGAAATGTAATAAAGAAAGTCCAGTTGTTTGTATTTCAGTAAACGATAGAGCTGTAAACATGAATATTGATATTTGGCATTGTCGATTAGGACATATTCCAATTTCTAAACTGTCTTTTTTACATAAACCTGTTCTTGCCATTACCTTTGATGACAATCTGCATTGCACTATTTGTCCTATGGCCAAACAACACAAATTACCTTTTTCACATAGCGAAACAAAAACTTCCAAGACATTTGAACTCATCCATTGTGATATCTGGGGCCCATATTCAGTTCCCTCTTTGAATGGCTTCAAATATTTCCTAACTACTGTAGATGATTATAGTCTTATGACCTGGACCTATCTCATGCGAGATAAGTCTCAAACCAAGTCCATTATTCGATCCTTCTTCCACCTAATCCAAACACATTTCAAATGTAATATAAAATACCTCAGATCAGATAATGGTTCAGAATTTTTTATGACCAACTTCTTTCACTCCAAAGGTATCATACACCAAGTAAGTTGTGTGGAAACACCACAACAAAATAGTGTAGTTGAGCAAAAACACCAACATATCCTCGACATTGCCAGAGCCATTAAATTTCAAGCCAAATTACCTCACAAGTTTTGGGGAGACTGCATTCTTATTGCCACACATCTTATAAATCGAACACCAACCATAATTCTTGCCAACAGGTGTCCCTATGAGGTACTATATCAAACTAAACCATCTTATACACACCTCAGAGTATTTGGTTGTCTTTGCTATGCCTTCACTCTTAAAGGAAATTGAACCAAATTTTATCCAAGAGCTGTACCTTGTATTTTCCTTGGATATCCCTATGGCATGAAGGCCTACAAACTATATAACTTACAAACAAATACAATCTTTATGTCAAGGGATGTTTCTTTCCATGAGACAATATTTCCTTTTCATCATCCCAACTTTCTCAAACTCTTTTCCTGTTCTACTGATGACTCACACCCAAATCAGACTCTATTTCCAGTCTCGTCACACTAATACATTGACTTTCCACACACAACTTCAAATTCAGCCCCTAAAAATACTCATCATTCATCTTCACCAGGGCATCCTTCTCTTTCCACATCACATACTTTACATGAAGAAGCTTCACCTGAGATTATTCCATCAGCAATACCCTCTTCACAGTCCATTATACTTCCTTCCCGCAGATTCGCTAGGCCTAAACATCTTCCATCCTATCTTCAAGATTATCATTGTAGCTTGGTGTCTCAGGTGCCTATTCCTCAACCAGATTCCATGGAGAAAAGACCTGAATCAGGAAGGCAATACTCTCTATCAAACTGGTTGAACTATGACAGGTTGTCTCCTATAGAGAGGAATACACATTGGCCATATCTACCATCTATGAGCCTAAATCTTTTGCCAAGGCATCTCAGCACCCAGATTGGTGTCAAGCCATGGATACAGAGTATCAGGCTCTAGTTTCCAACAACACTTGGACTGTTAGTCTGCTTCTAGTACATAAGAGGGTTGTGGATTGCAAATGGATTTTCAAAGTTAAGGTCAAATCAGATAGCACAGAGGAAAGGAAGAATGCACAACTTGTGGCTAAATGATTCACCCAATAGGTTGGTTTGGATTATGAAGAAACGTTTTCACCTGTTGCCAAGCTAGTTACAGTGAAAACTCTTCTAGCTGTTGCAGCACAAAAACAGTGATATCTCCATCAATTATACATCAATAATGCATTTCTTCATGGTGAACTTGATGAAGAAGTTTATATGTTGATGCCTCCAGGGTATGAGCAGCAAGGGGAGAATGGAACAAATTCATATACGGACTCAAACAAGCATCACGACAATGGAATACCAAGTTAACAACCTATATTTTGTCACAAAGTTTTAAGCAATCAAAATCTGATTACTCCTTATTCAACAAACAAAATGGCTGTCATTCACTGTGTTGCTTATCTATATAGATGATATTGTCATAGATGGGAATGACTTGTCTTATATTGATCAGTTCAAAATGACATTGGATGATCAATTTAAACTCAAGGACTTGGGAGTTTTAAAGTATTTTCTAGGACAAGAGGTAGCAAGAATCTCCAAAGGCATATCCATTTGTCAAAGAAAATATGCATTAGAAATATTAGCAGGTGCTGGTTATCTTGGAGCCAAACCAGCAAGGAGTCCTTTGCCACACAACTTGAAATTGAGCAAAGATGGAGGGAAAGCTATTGCAGATGCTAGCATGTATCGGAGGTTAGTGGGAAGGATACTATATTTGACGATAACGAGGCCAAACCTATCACATGCAGCTCAAGTTCTCAGTCAATTTCTTGAATCACCAAAATAGATTCATTTAGAAGCTACTCATCATGTGTTGCGGTACTTAAAGGGAACACCTGGCCAAGGTTTATTCTTTGATAGCAGATTTGATTTATAGCTTAAAGGATTTTGCGATGCAGATTGGGCCGCATGTTTAGATACAAGAAGGTATGTTACGGGTTACGGTGTCAAGGACCGCAGCTTTAATTAGCCCCTTGACACTATCGCAGCCGCAGTTTCCCCAACTTCGGCCGCACATTGTAAATATTACTTCAAGTTTGAGTTGTAATTTTCGTTTCATTGTAATAGTTATTTTAATTGTAAAATAGCTCTGATATTGGTAAAAGATTAGTATGATTCCTCGTCTTTTAAACGTCTACTCCCGTCACTTGGGTTTTTGTTCAGAATGCTATTATAGGGGGTATTAGTCATTCAAAAATCTTTCAAGCTCACTGGTGTCCGCCCCCTGCACCAGCATTTGTAATTTTCTGCTTTCATCAATTGTAATGTTCAGTTTTCATCAATCAATGTTCAATTTACTTTCAATGTATTCAAGTTCTCAATTGTAAGCTTTCTACAAAATTGCAATCAAATTTTCTTTCGTCCCGACGCGACCGAGAAAAGGCGGAAGGTAGTCTAGCGGAGCAGACTACTGCCGCACGGTGTCCCTTTCTGTGCCAAGAAGAAAGGCACCCCGTGAAACACGGTCTCTAGATCATCAGTCGAAGTAGAATATCGGACAATGGAAGCTGCGGTTTGTGAATTGAGTTGGCTGAAAAATATACTAAGTGACTTAAGTGTTATACATGCTAAGGCTGCATTACTTTTCTGTGACAACCAATCTGCCATACCTATAGCCAGTAATCCGATTTTTCACGAAAGAAGGAAGCATATAGAAATTGATTGCCACCTTATAAGGGATAAAGTGCAGGCAGGAGAAGTAAAGATGCTACATACAGGGTCACAAAATCAGTTAGCAGACTTGCTAACTAAACCTATGGGAGGAGCAAAATTTAAGTCACTGTTGGACGAGATGAGAATATTGAATATACATTATCCATCTTGAGGGGGAGTATTGAGTCATGTTAGCATAGGGGTATTTAAGTCATTGTACACATTCTAGTCTTAGCCTTAGTCTCTGTATTGATGTATATATATGTGTGTGTGCTAGTGTACCCGTATTCATTCAAGCAGCTGAAGTAAATAACAAAATTTTCCCGCCATTTTCTTTTCTCTCCAAGTTCTAGAACCTCCTTCTCCGTCAACTCTTCACATGTTGTAGCTAGCACCATGAACTATCTAGAAGTTTTCACAAAACATGGTTGTAAAGTATGAATACGGGCTTGATGATGGACAATTTTTCTTTCTATGTATAATGCCATTGGTAATAACCCTTGATGATAGCAACAGTTTAAGGGTTAATTTCCTTAGTCTCGTAAAATTTTAAGGACTGACCTTGGTTGGTATTTAAGATGTGCCAATCCATAATAGCAAATTTAAAGATTTAAACCAATTGTAACCAAATGGGCTAGAAGTGAAATTGTTGAGTTTTCATTTGAGGCACGAGACATCTAGATGCTAACTCTTGCCAATTGTGCAAACTTTTTGTGTAATTCCTAGAAATCTAGATGCTAACTCTTGTCAATTGTGCAAACCTTCTGTGTAATTTGTTGTTAGAATAATCTTATATCATGAAGTCTTTGTTTTGTTGATCATGCAGACCAGTTAACTACTTGATATATTTAATATAAAATATGTGAAGAGGAATATGATATTGACAACAATGGATCCCCTCCTTGGGGTTTAATTGCACAGTGCGGCCTCTATCATGCTAGTACAAAGGAGAAGAAAACTCAGATGGCTTTCAATGCTTTTGATTTATAAGCATGCAGGCTTCTCTTTATGATGCTTTCATTAACTTTTCAGCTACTTTGTCTGTTAAAATATTCTGCTATCAACTGAGTTCTACTACTTGTGGCTTTCGCTTTGTATGGCCTTCTGCTTTAGGAACTATTAACTTTGATTTCACTGTTGTAGATACCCTAATTAAAAGTAATTTGGTCAATTACCAGGGAAGCTTTTTGTTCTTGAGATGTATCTTTGCAAGAATAATAGAATTCTATGATGGTATTTCTTAGGTTTGATGCATCTTTATCTTAAGTTTGATGTCTAAGACTCCAGGTGGTATTTCTTGTTTCCTCTGTTTCTTTTGCTCCTCTTCATTTCCTGTTTAATAAGAATTGAACTTCGACCCTTTTTAGTCATTTAGTAATCTCTATTTGCTATTCATTTTACTGAACTTTTCTGCTTGTAAGTACACTACTATTTCAGATGCATGCTTGTGAAATTGGTTGAAAGGAAGGTGTAAAAGAATATTATGGAAGTACAACAGAGAAGATAGTCTCTGATGATCTTGTGATCCAAAGTTTGCTGCATCTATTTATTTCCTTTATGCCACTTCAAGGCTTTCAAGTTATGGAGATAATCAACCTTGGCCTGTAGAAGGATACTTCTCGAGTCCACATTAGCAAGATAATGTACCATGGTCCAACTGTAGTAGAACTCTTGACACGGTGGAATACGAGAAAGATATTCTAGTTAATCTCACATCATACTAGCCTTCTAGCTCATTAGTTATATCATAATCTCTCAAATTGGTGGATTTCTCATTTGATAAAATCTCGAGTGTTTGAATAACTACAAGGGGAATATATGAATTATGATGTTCAGAATTGGGTGCAGGTATCAGATACGGGTATATATCTAGGTGTTGAATTTTTTATTTTCTAAAATGTAATATATGGAGACATAGCTAAAAATGGTCCAAATTTCGGATACAGGTATGTGGTACATCTTTTAAACTTCAATTTTTTATTAATTCAAGATGTCATTTTGAATAGATCAAAATAAATTATTCACAAATAAGGAAATGATTATTGAATAAAGTGTTACGATGAATAAAATATGATATATGATTTATTTTTCAATTATGAGAATTATTAAATGTTATAAAAAATAGAAAATAAGAGATTTGATTACACTTTGAACTTAGTGGAGGACTAAGTAACACTATATGAAACTCATTTTCATTTTATACCAACAAAATCCTAAATCACCGTTACAGAGAAAGGAGGAAAAAAATGGAAAAAAAAAAAGAAAGAAGAAGAGAAAGAAGGGAAAACCTAGCCCACCTCCATTCTTCGCTCTCTTGGCGGCGAAGTTACGTTAATAGAAAGTGAAAACGAGAAAGAAGAAAAGGGAAAGTAAAGGAAAGAGGGGAAAGAAGAAGACACAAAAACGATTAAGTATCTAGTTGAAATTTGGAAGATTCGACACATATCCCATACTCATACTCATGTTATATCATATGTGACACGGGTACTCAACTATTTTCTAGAGTCCAAGCATTGGAAAGGGAAATTATAGGCATGTACCAAGAGTAAAGCTTTCTTTTTGTCTAATAATCAACTTTACATTTATAACACCATAGTTATGTTAGTTCTGGACATAATTTGATAGATTAATCCAGTGTCCTAAAAGGAAATCACTACTTTCGTCTTAGGGAGCTTGCAGATGTGACTTTGACGATAGTGATTAGTTGATAGGGTGATATTGGAGTAATGAAAGCTTATGCGATCTAAACAGCTTTGTTTATTGATCAACGAGAGCGACGTTGTCGTCATGATGGGACAAGTTTCCTTAGGGACATTACTTGACTACTTTAATGACATCATTTCCCTAATAGACACGCTCAAAGCATTAGCTTGACTCATCATTCTGTGTTGGAACTTGGACAGTTGGCCCTTCTCTTTTGCTATACCTTTGGTCCCATGTGGATGGGGCAACCCAGTCTGACGCAGTGAATTCAATTCAATTGACAAAATTTTTCATAATTCATTTCGTGATATACTACTTGGATTCAAATATAAAAATGCAAGAAGTAAAGATAGGATAATTAGCACAAAATATCTTTACCTTTCAATGTTATTGTGCAAAACGTCCATACCTTCAGTTTTGGCATTTTCACCCATACTTTTATCTTTCATTGCAAAAATCATCATTTTTATCCAATTTTCTTATATAAAATGAGAAATATACCGTCTTATTTAAATAAAACAAAAAAAGAAAAGAAAAATTAAACAATAAATTGCAATCATACTCCCTAACTTTTTTAAAAAGTGCAAATAAGTTTAAATAAATTATTAAAAGAATAATTAGAACAAAATGTTCATACATTTCAATATTATTGTGCAAAACGTTCATACTTTTCATTTTTTTGACATTTTCATCTTCATTTTCACATTTTATTTCGAAATTCATCATTTTGATCTATTGTCTCAATTAAAAGTTATAAAATAACAAATATACCTTCATTTTTTAAACAAAAGAAAAATAAAGAATAAATTGTAACTATACTTCCAAAATTTCAAAAAAAGTACAAATAAATAATTAAAAAGAATGTGATTTTTTGTTTTATTTAAATAAAAATGTATATTTGTCATTTTACATAAAAAAAATTGGATGAAAATGATGATTTCTGCAATGAAAGATGAAGGCAGGGGTGAATATGAAAATGAAAGGTACAGACATTTTGCCTAATAACATTGAAAAATAAAAATATTTTGTACTAATTATTCTTAAAGATATCCTTATATGTAAATACGAAATGCGGTGAAGATTCTGTAAGTGTTATGCCCTAAATCCAATCGATTTAGGTTGTAAACGCTTTTAATGTGTTTAATGCATTTAACTTTGGTGAGATATATTATCTATTTAAATTAATTTCGTGATAAATAACATTAAATAATAGAATCCGAAGATCCAAGTTTAAATGATTTGTTAATCACAAGGAGTTGTGATTGTGAGATACAAATTACATATAATTGGATCTTGAATAAATCGTAGTCGTAAGTAATAACGAGATACGGATATCGTTAATACAGTTAGACCATCACGTGTGTCATTTCTTACTTGTGAAGTAAGTAGCTGATCTCACGAGTTAAAGTGTGGTGACACTTAAATGAACACGTGGATGTTTTGTTACAGAACAAAACATTGGAGACCCGCTAAGAGATTTCACGTGGATAACTATCTGAGTGTCAGTGGTTAATCTCTAACGTTTGTAATGAAATTGGTCCTACAACTTGAGGTCATCATAGTACCTTATATGAGGACAGTCATATTTTGACGGTGTTGGATGTTGCTCTGCCAAGGGCCGCTAATGTGACATCGTTCAGGTATGTCAAAAGCCATATGAAGGTTGTGAATGATCAATAGAGGATTCGTCACTCTTAGATAGTAAGAAATTGTGATCTGCATTTCGTTCAATTGAGTCAATAACGAAATCCTTGGCCAAGGTGTACATATAAGTCGAAAATGAGTTTTCGACTCATATTGACTTAATAGAAGAATGAAAGATATGATCGACAATCGAGATTGACACACTTCGATATCTCGTAGTTGATCAGATTATATTAACGAAGGGATTATAATTTCATGGTAAACGAACAGTTTTGGTTTTGTCATATCACGTGACATTTTTCGTCACATGTGTTGCCCTGATACATTGCTAGATGTCAATTTGGGACGACGAGTGTGAATCTGTGATAAATTAAAATAGTGTTTAATTTATCAGTTTTGATTAGATCAAAATAATATTTCACGTCGTTAGGCATCGTGGTCGGGAACTTAATGGGTCGCACACAAAAGAGAATTGAAAGATTGCAAATTCCCAATTGATTAATTTAACAATCGTTGGATAAATTAATTAATTGGATTTGTTATTTATATTCCCGAATTAATTAATTGGATTGATTAATTCACGGACCGGGTTTAATTAAATGGATTAATTAAACAATGGACCGGACCGGGCCGAACCCGTTTGGATTTATATAAATACATGACTAGAGTTTGAGGTCCATAAGGTTTTCATTATTCTTGCTGGCACAAGAGGAAAAACTCTAGCAGTTGCAGTCTATTCTCTGTGTGGATTTCATTGGAAACTGCACAATTGAACAGCTATGGGAGGCAGATTCAAACTATTGGAAAGGAATAACGCGAAGGAGTTTGCAAATTAAAGAAAATGTATATTTCTTATAACAGTTTTTATCTAAATACAAAGTTGAATCCTGAATGGAAATTGAAATTTGTTAAATTTCGCTGTGCATATTTAAGTAAATTCCCAACAGACTCAACGTCTCAACTTATAAATTATCTCATATTTGGCCCAAGATCAAATAGATCACACAAATAGAAAAATGAGTAAAAATTTCACAGGAAATATTTCTGTGAAATAAAAAGTAAAATTTATAATGGCATTTGGATGGGGTTTTCAGTCATCCTAAGAGGGAAAGAATCGTCTGGTTTGGCGCACACGTTAGAATCCTGATTAAAACTTACGCCCACGCTCCCATTTTCAAGATCCAAAATCCCGGAGGAGAAGAAAAGAAAAAAGGAAAAAAAAAGGGATTATTTCTCATTAATCCAGCCGTTAACCCGGGGTCCACGACTTTTAATCTGTGCCCTCGCTCATGACTTCTTGAGATCCCCCATTCTCCATCTCAAAATCTAATTTCGATAGCACCTTGGGCATTTCAAATTCAGCTAGAGCATTTTTTTCGTAATCTTTGTAACTTTTTCTGTTTTTTCTTCTGTAATGGTGCTTTATTTTTTTGTTCAATCTTGTAGCTTTGCCTGTAATATTAAGTGTATCACATTTTCAATATAACGACTGGTTCGAAGATCAGATATGCGGAGTTTCAGTCGGGTCGCTGTTTTTTCCATTTTTATCCTTCTTTTTGCATCTGGGACCTCCTCGATTGATAATCTTCATCAGGCGTAAGTTTTTGTTGGTTTTTTATTTTAATTTCTTGACAAGGGTTCGCTATGGTTTCTTTAATCTTGGTGATGCATTGTGTTTTTCTTCATTTCTGGTGTGAAAAAAATGTTATCTTGGAAGATTGCAGAAAATAATCGTTCTTATGCTTTAGATTAATATTTAAAGTTTATTACCCGTGTTTATTTTAAAGGTTCCGTTTACTTGGTTCTCTCTATAACCTTCTTGGGGCCATATGGTATTCATAATTGGAATTTGGCAGTCTTAAATCATAAGATTGTGATGATAGATTTTTAGTAAGGGGAGTTTTTAATTTTGTAGTTAACTAAGCAATAAAAATAAATAAATGTTGATGGGAATTTTTCTGGACATGAACAAAATATCAGTAACTATGGTAAAGTCAGTTTTCTGACCTAGAATGGAGTAATGTAGAAATAATGTAAAGTATTTCGGGGTCTTTGTTTTCAGCAGTATTTAAACCAAGCCATTAAAATCCAAAACGGGTGGTCATGAGTTAGAGCCTTACAGTTCTTGGGCCTGCACACGTGTTACAAATGTCTGGAAGGATCGGTGGACATTTGCAGGTGATAAACTAAATAAATAAAGATAAAAAAGAGATATTTGTTATCGAGCCTTCTGGCATACATGCTCCAGTGAAGAGGAGCAAAATTTTTCTATGGTATTGTCGGGTGCAAATTATTGATTGAAATCCAAACACAAAGATTTGAATTGTTATGATTTTAACCTAATATATATGAAATTTGGCCCTTAGCCCTTAGCCATTTGCTTATCTAAAGCTAGCAAGAAATTCTGACAACTGCACAAGGAACCATCTCACATCAGAATCTAGTTCTTATATCTGTTCCTTGAGCTGGCCTTTTATTTTGGTGATTTAGCATGGGCATATGATGTGTCATTTATTCACATACATATTCATGAATGTTTTGGGAAATTTCAGGGGACATGCCACGACACATGGTACTTATGGAGTGAATTTCACATTTTCTTTCCACAAGTGAAAATTTCAAAAATAATTTACAAAACAAATGCTAATAAAAAGTAGGTCTATAGTTAAATTGCACTTAATGAGCAAGATCCATCTGAACAGATGTCTTCTTTTACATCGTGTCTTTCCTTGCTGTGTTTATTAAACTGCTTAGATATACCTTGGTTTAATCTCCCTCCTATTATGTAAAAAAGATTCTAAATTAAATTGATGTTCCTCCCTTAATTTTTTTTTATGTTGCCTCCTCCATTTTGTTAAAATGCATACAAGAGGAGATGAGAAGGCAACCAATCTTGTCAGTCTTTCTGATGCCACCTGTTATTATTGCAGTTTTCCTATTATAGTACCCGATCCTGGTCACACAAAACTCCGCCTTTCGAGAGAAGGTTTGGAGGCAATTGAGAGAATAACGACTCCTATTGCTGCTGTCGCAGTAAGTTGTAGATTAATCTCTATCAACATGTCAAGTCGCAATTTCTCATATGATTAGTTACTAATGTAGTTCAGAATCAGTAAATTCAAGTGCCATGAGATAGGAGAATAGCAGAACCCATATATTTTCCAGATGCTTTATTCTATTTTTTTGAAGAGTCATTCTGGTGGTTTTGAGTGGTCTGTTCTCTCTCTGACTGCATGTCATGGAGATTGTATTGTTCTCATAAAAATTTTTGTCTTCCTAAGTTACTCTATGCATGTATTTGTTTCTTCATTTGACTCCAATTTTTTTTTTTTTTTGTGCCCATCTTACCAGGTTATTGGTCCATATCGTTCAGGAAAATCTTTTCTGCTCAATCAACTTCTCTCCCTCTCATGTTATGAAGGTGCTGCGATGTCTATTTATTTACGCACGTAATATGTTGCTGCTGATGTTATCTTGTGATCTGATTTCTTCTCGTCCTGATATTTGAAGTTCAAATTTTACAGGTTTTGGTGTAGGGCACATGCGTGATACCAAGACAAAAGGTATACACCAGCTTTTTCTGGATATAGCTTCTGTCCATATGACATAGATAACAAGCCATTTCCAGATGTATCTGAAAACATTTAATTTTTTTCTCAGGAATATGGGTATGGGGAGCTCCACTAGAATTGGATATAGATGGAGTAAAAACTTCTGTCTTCTATCTTGATACGGAGGGATTTGAAAGTATTGGGAAATCAAACGTATATGATGACAGGTAAAATCTGAAGTACAAGATTTACTTCTTCTACCAATAACATATACGCATTAAATGAAAAATTGGCTGTCAATTGATATTTATGATTTTTGGTTACTTGTTTTTCAGGATTTTCGCCCTGGCCACTGTCATGAGTTCTGTGCTTATTTATAACCTACCTGAGACGGTTTGTTACTTTGCCTGTAACTCTCATCCCTCATTATCTCATGCTGTGTGGTGATGCATCGAGTTTGAATACTTAATCCAGTCATATTATGGATTTGTTAGATTTGGTGCAGCACATTCTTTTCATATTGATACTATGTACCCAATGTGTATTAGTCCTGGCTCATGTTTAGTAACTTAACATGGATATGTATGGATGATTCTTGGGTAACTAAAAGCAGATATTAAGTGCTAATCCATTTATAATTTTCTCTAAACAGAGTTATCTTAGCCCATGCTTGGCTCATGTTTATGAACTCTTTATGAGTGCTTGAACCACTTTTTTTATTCATTGGGGTCCACAAGTACTACCCACTCATCCACCACTCATTTCTACCTATTTACAATTTAAACTATTCATAAATACTTTCCAGAAATGCTTTTATTGGGCCTGAAAGCCTGTAGTCAATTTTCTTGGTCTATACTAGAACATAGTATGGATATACGTAATTAAGTTTATGATAATGTGTTGTTTTCATTATATGCTTAGATCCGTGAAGCAGATATATCACGGTTATCATTTGCAGTTGAGCTTGCTGAAGAATTCTATGGCAGGTACTTAATAGCACGTTGGCTTAACATTGTTACAATTGCTTTAGACTTGGACTAATTTAATTTACTATAGTCCTCAGTCTCCAAATTTTTACACTGATACTAGTTTGTTTTTCTTGCATGTACATCCTTAACAGAGTGAAGGTAATCATTGCAACTTTTTAATATTTTATCTAGATCTTATCTTAACGTACTAAAAGAAAATAAGAAAGAAGAAATGAGATCCTCCAGGCATCATCTTTTCTATCCTTTGATGTTTCGTGCAGGGGCAAGATGTAGCTTTTGAACCTGCTAAGCTCCTCTGGCTCATCCAGCGTGATTTCCTACGTAAGTCTTGCTATGTTTAAGAATGGTGTATGGACATAAAGTGGCATGTTATTTTATTATATTTTCTGGGTCTGTACATAATATTTTAGACAATTTTTTTTTTCCCCTTTTTTTGCCAGAAGCTTAGTTCTTTGTACATGAGTCACCATGAATAATTTTCTCATCATTGAAATGGAGACGTCTTTGTAAAATTGCCTCACTCTCCCTCTCTGTTTTTATCTTTGCTCGAATGATCCATTTTGCTATTTCTTCAGCTACTTGCTCATTTTAGTAATTTTTGGGGCGTGCAGAAGGAAAATCTGTGCAAGAAATGATAGATGAGGCTCTCCGACATGTCCCAAATGCTGATGGTCAGTTTCCTCTGCCTCTGCATATATTCACTTAGAAACTTATCCTTTTAGAAGGGTGTAATAAAATTTATTTTGGTGCTTACTGTGAGCAGGGGACAAGAATATTGATCAGGTAGATTTCCATTTCAAGTTTTTGTAGCAGTTCCGGTAATATTATGATACAAGATAATATAATGTTTTTTAATTTAATTTTATTTTATTTATTTATTTTTTTTGTGTAAAGGTCAACCAGATCCGTGATTCTTTGGCAATCATGGGAACAAATAGCACTGCCTTTAGCTTGCCACAGGTATGTGTTTGCTTTTTTGTTATTTATCAAGTTAGTTATGTTTCTGTAGCACTCATTGCATATTCTCTTATTTGATGCCTTGGCTTTAGGACATTTTAAGTGGAATAAAAAATATCTAGTAATTTAAACTGGTTGCAAGTTTCTTTGTATTTTTAGAGAAATAGTGATGCAGAAACCCTCTATTTTGGGTTATGGGCTGTACTGCAATGAAATGGTGGTCGATTAATGAAATAAACCCTGAGACGCGAATTATAATTTCTATGTTAGAATTTAGCATAACAAAAACTCTAAACAAGTAGAAACTACTAACAAATCCTCTAAGGGATCTGTGCCATTTGAAATTTCTAAATCTCACTGATATGCTAATTGTATTATGGCAGAATGATCTTTGGGCAATTCGAAATGAACATCATCGACACAATATGTATGTCAAGTTCTTGGTTTCCATGGAATTCAATCATTCTTGATGTCAGCATGATAAGAGGCCATCTTTTTGCTCCCTAAACTGCTGAAAACCTAATCGAAGTTTTTATACAATCCTAATTAATTATTAATACAAAATTAAAAGATCCTACAGAAGAAAGTTTCAAATTAATTATTCTTTAACTTGGATTTCTGTGCTTGCCGCTTCTGCATCTAATAGCTTGCTTGATACGGTTTAGAGAGGTGGTAGATGCCTTAATGTTAGATTTGATGGGAGTTTCAGCTGTATTTTAGAAAATAACTATTCTTTTGTCTGAAATGTTTAGATAATGATTTATGAACAACAAAGGCATCAATTATTTTTGCATTATTCTTCACCCATGCGCACACATATAATGGCATGTATAATACCTTTCTTGATGGCATTTGCTTTATATTAAGCTTTTGTTGACATTATTAAACACGTGTTATATATAACTATTCTCTGTAAATTGATAGCTCAATCTGAACTTTTGTGCAGCCTCATCTCCTGCGCACAAAGCTTTGTGACATGAAGGATGATGAGCTCGATCCAATTTACATACAGAAGAGGGAGAGATTGAAAGAAATTGTTGCTTCCATCATCCGTCCAAAGATTGTCCAGGGTAAACTTCTCACTGGGAAGGAGTTTGTATCATTTTTGGAGCAGGTTCTTTTTCTAGCCCATATTGGTTTCAGTTTATATCAAATCCTTTAGAAGTCCAGCGTGTCTGTTCATTTTGAAGTATGATTCCATATTTTACTTTATAAACTTGCATTCCAGATTCTTGAAGCCCTAAACAAAGGGGAGATTCCATCAACAGGCTCCCTTGTGGAGGTCTTTAATAAGGGAATTCTTGATCGCTGCCTGAAACTTTACAGTGATCGTATAGGTAAGATTGGTTTACCAACATCCGTGGAGTCTCTACAGAAAGCTCATGAAGGTTCCAAAGAAGCGGCCGTGAAAGTTTTTGATGATCAACATTTTGGTCGTCACCATGCCAAGAAATCTGCTGAGAAATTGGTTGAAGAAATGGAGAAGGTTTTGAATGTGAACACAATAATCTGGCAGCATTAATTCTTAGATTTCGTGCTTATTGATATGTCTGTGCAGGTATACAAGAATTACATGTTGGCAAATGAATATCAATCTTCAAAACTGTGTGAGGCTTTATATACAAAATGCGAGGACAATATGGACCAGCTTCAAGTCCTTAGACTTCCATCTATGGCTAAATTTAATGCTGGGTTTCTGCATTGCAACCAAAGCTTCGAAAAGGAATGTATTGGACCTTCGAAAACTAGCTATGAGCATAGAATGATGAAGGTTAGAAACATTTTCATCTTCCTTCATATCTTGTGCTGATTTTATTATTTTCTCCACGATTAAGGAAATTCAAGGAGCTCCATGAGAACCCATGTTGAGTTAAGATGGATACAGAAGATATGTGGTTTAAATGTATTTGAAGATAATCAAAATTAACTCCAACATCACATGACTGAAGAGGAGGGGCAGCATAAGCAAGAGACTGGGACTTAGAAAATTAGGAGAAAAAAATAAATAAATAGAAATCTGTTATGCATAAATTGGAAGTACATTTTTGGAGTACACATGGAAGCTTTACTTGCTTATGATTAATAAATCCATTTTATTTGTCTTATGTGACAAATTTGAGAAAATTTCTTTTCATTGAAGATTCAAATTGTTTTTTGGAGCTTATAATCTCCCTCTGGATCGGAGAATAAATATGTACCCTCTAATGTTTTATTTTTTTTATCTTTTTTGGTTCACTATTTTCTTGTCTTCGTTGGTCTTAGATTTCATGTCGCCTCTTCTGAATATTTTCTTTTAAATCTGTATCTTGTTAATGCAGATGTTGGGGAAGTCAAAATCCCTATTCATCAAAGAATACAACCACAGGCTTTTTAATTGGTTGGTGGCCTTTTCACTCGTCATGGTGGTACTAGGCCGGTTTATAATAAAGTTTATTTTGATAGAGATTGGAGCATGGATACTATTTATATTCTTAGAGACCTACACGCGCATGTTTTGGTCAGCAGAATCTCTTTATTACAACCCAGTATGGCATGTTATTGTCACGACTTGGGAAACCCTCGTATACAGCCCCATCCTTGATTTGGACAGGTAAATAACATTTATGATCTTTCATTTGTTAGATGCACGTAGTTACTCTGTATTCTTCAAATTTATCTGCAAATTGAATGTTGCTACTATCGTTTTGGACTTCAGGAATGTGACATTTTCATTTCTTTTTGCTGTTTTTGAACATTGTGCTGCCATGGAAATATTTGTATACCTATAATGTCAATTAATTACTTACGGCTTATTTAGTAAAGTGGACTCTACGGGACAATGTTAAATCCTGTACTGCATGCTATACATTGAGCTGGAATAAAAAGATAAGGAAAAAGGAGACTTAGAGGAAAGAATAAACGGATTTATGTTGAACAAGCTGGTAAACCTTTCAAAAAGACAAAAAAACAAGCTGGTAAACATGCTTGTAACAATTTTATTTTTTATTTTTATTTATTTTTTCGTTAATAGGCTTAGAAAATAATAATTGAAATTTTGAATGAATGTTAGCACTCTTGCGTGAAAGGGGTTGCATAGTAGAGAGTATCAAGGATCAAGAAATTGAAATCTCGTTCATAATATTGTCTCGTCCTGTCCATTATTGCGTACCAAATGTTATGTTGAGTTTTTAACTTCCTTGATATTGTTTAAACAGATGGGCGATTCCTCTTGCCATTATAGTTGCAATATTGGTCGTTTACTGGCGATGCTATGGAAGGAGGAAACATGGTTCTCATTGGCTGTTACCTATGTATAATAATCAGAAAGATCGACGGAGATCAGAATGATCAAGACATGAATTACATCGAACCATATACCGCTCCTTTCATTCAATCTTGGTGGGCTTCTATTTTTATGCCCAAGGCACGCTGGATTAGTGTGAATTATCAGCTCTTAAACCCCAAAAATGGGAAGATTCAAAGGTCTCAGAGAGATGTGCATGGTGTTGTGACAATTACAGTGGAAAATAGGTTGAATTTTCCTGTATAATTGAGATATTTAAACTATATTGGCGCATAATTCATTCATCTTATTGAAAGTATTGCTTTGAGTAAAATTGCAGCTGCTGAATTTCGCAATCTATTTGGGGGTGTCGGTGGGACATGGGAGCCTCAGCTCATGCATCGGTTTACAGAAATCCATCTGGCATGAATTCCATGCATTTCTAGTATAGTGGAGGTGAGAGCCACCAAGACGAAGGAAGATAGGGAAGTACGTAGGTCGAGGACCAAAAGGAGAAATTTGTGTTGTATACATTTGAAAATATCAATCATACACAGTAAAATACAGTTATTTAGGTAAGAGTTGAAATAATTTTAATTTTGCAACCACATTTTTCTTAGTAGAATATCAGCATGTTCTACAAAACAATCAACCCTAACCAAACAAAAATGAGTGCAAAATCCTGCCACAGATTGAACTTGACTAGTCTTGAGAAGGTAGCAAGCTGTACAATTGATCCCTTCTCCTTGGATAAGTATCCCCCACTTCTTAGTTGAGGAACGCGAATGATCAGTAATTTCGATCATCTCTCTGTCTGGTTCTGATTTTGGTTCGAGATCTTCCACCAAAATGATTCCATTCGGGGTCGGGCTCCCTCCCTCCCATCTTTTTTTGATAAAAGGCCAATCCTCTGCCGTGGCCTTTTCTCTAACCAATTTAATTCCCGTCGTTCGAGTTGATCCATCACCATTATCACCGTATACGTGCACAAGGAAGGGGGCCTCATCAAGGTTACGCACAATCTACAAACAAAAAAAGCATAACTATCAGATTTTAATACAAGTCAAAATCAATTTATATTTTGGGTTTCATCAACTTTTATCAAAAGTTACTAAAAAAATTGATTTTAATCCCAACCAAACATGGGCTAAAACTTGAAGCAATGAGACACGTAATGTAATGTAACATGACACGTGAAAACATTATTTTTGAAAAAACTAGGATACAAAAATTTATAATTTACTTTAAATTTATATATTTAATTATAAAAATTCGTTTAAAATTAAATTAAACTCCAATCACTTCCTAATTTTATAGTAGGATAAGAATTGAAGCCTGAAATTATGTTTTAGTGAAGCACGAAATTAAGTTAATTCTTAGTTGAAACTAACCTCAATGGCAGAATCTCTAACCCATCGATCCAGTTCTTTAGAAATAACCTCAGCCTCCTCGTCCGGGATCCTTTTATTAGGCCGATCGCAATTACTCATCAACTGGTCGGAAGCTTTTGATGATAGATTTATTCTATTTCTGTTGGCGCAATTTGCATCAATGGCAATTCGTTTTGATCGGCGAAAGTGATTGGGATTCAAAAAGGACTTATTATTCGCCAATTGCAGTCGAGAGAAAGATCCATTTCCATGCAAGGACGACGCCATGGAGATCAGAACATAAGCAAAGCGAGTTTGTTGTTAAAGGTATTTATAACCAGAAATGAGGGTGAAGTTGATGAATAGCGCATTAGCGTGTAAGAAACAAAATGATTGCTTAATTCGTACTCGCAATTCTGTTGGCTTCTGCCGTAAAAGTTAATAGAGAAATCTGACGTGGCAACCATATTTCGCCGGCCTATTTTCACGTTCTATCTCATGCTGTACGCGCGCTTTATTCGTGTATATGCTCCAGCGGCCCGATCCACGTCAGCTATGGTTTCCACGTCATCCATTAAAGATTTTCTCCTCTGGCTCTACCTTTGGCGTATAGTCCCCAAACTAAGGTCTCTATATGCAAGAAGTCCCTATTCTTTAGCTCAACTTACATACTCAAGTTTTAAATAATAAAATCATCCAATCACTCTCCAATTATTTTGCAAAAGAGGCCATGCTTATCGTAACTATAACTGTCGATATGTCCCAATCCTTCATATTTGTGTTTTAATATGTTTAATTTTTTCCACCTATTTTGTACTAATAAACATAATTAAGCCCATGTTTGCTGGTCATTATTTGAGAAAAAAAAATTAATGTTTTGTGTTGACCTCTTTTTTGTAAGCCTTGCGTTGCCAACGGATTCCAAGTCCTTTTGTATCGAAATAAGATTCCTATCTTCCACATTTGGACACACTATAAGTTGCATGAAGCATTCTTTGAAGTGGGGGGAGGCAGTCACATACACTTCAATGGTCAAGTCAAACGATCTTTATGGAAAAGGGGGTGTGGAACGTGCTAAGGACATGATCCACTAAGTAACAGAGTAATATATAGAGAGAGCAAGATTATAGGTTTAAATGTATAAAGTTGCATGGCACAATGTGTAAGTTTTTATAGAGCGAGAGACGCAATAATGGTTGTTGGAACAGAAGACACGTGGCCTCATTGACAATCGACCTGCCAGCTATCTTATCATGGGCTAAGGGCATTTATGAACATTTAAAACGTCTGAAGGGTTGTCGTCTAAGACCTAAGCCTATCCTTTGATTACTAGATTGACGTTTTGACCTAAGAATGACTGCTGCAACAAGTTGTCACGTCAAGCAGTTATTTGAAAAATTCGTACGAAAGATCTCCTTGGGGTGTGAAGATGCTTCTTTGGTAAATGAGAGGTTGGGAGCTTCATGTACTTTCGTAGTGCGGCTCTTGCTAGGTTGACCTTTGCATGTCGACCTTGGCCGATTTACAAAACTATCTACTAGAAGGTTCGCTTGAATGGGGCCTCGGCTTATGTGTTCTATCACTTTGGCTATCAGTTAGGATGACGAGTGGGATTTGTGGACCTTGGGGTTGCCACTTAGTTAGATCTGGCGCCTCTCAGGATGATGCGTAATATTTTGAATAGTGATTTTTAGAAAAATGTGTTATCAAAAAGTAGAGAAAATTTTTGAATTTACGTGCAGAATATTTTATCGTGTGAATGTGTGTTTGAAAATAAATATTTATAAAAAAAGAGTTTTCAAATAATAGAAGTTCCTAACATTTGATTATCGTTACACTTATGTCCATAGCTTTTTCATCACTTTCTTATCCTCAATCTTTCATTAAATTATCAAAACTTGTCACATGACATATGTATACAATGTTCTTGTTGATCTATAATCTAACAAAGCCACCAAGAGACCTCCTAACAGTAACATCATTCGTATAGCGCCACGGGACAATCAAAATATATTCTTGGGTACCTATAATTATCGTCTAAAGTCTCATAAGTACATTCGTAAGATGATTTTATTATATTCAATGTTATCATCTTCTTATGAATGTCAGTATTAATTATTGTCTCTCTTACTTTCATTATCTCCTATTTATGAGTTATGCATATTCATCTCTAATGCACGTGCACATCGATGTATCAATATATCTTGCGTGTCACATATGACATATAACAATATTTCATATGCATTTCTATAAAAAAATTTACAGAAATTTCTTTGTATCATGCCAATATTGTGCATTGGCGCAAAATTAACCGATTCATAACGGTGACTAGAGAAACCTTGCCCGTCAATTGTCACATGGTGTTTACTTTCAAAGTATCGTTAACTTACCAAAAGAAATAATTTTCACACGAATAATACTAATTAGCTCCACTAGGTAAAACCTCATATGATGTGGTAGTTGATGTGTCGTGAAATGATACGATCAATTAAATGTATGAATAAAACATACTTATTGATAAGAATGTCACATCACATGAAGATAATCCTACTCTTTTCACACTTGAAGTTTGAATACATTCTAAAAAAGTTAGAACTAATGAGTAATTGATATAATTAATATGATGAGCATTTTAGGAAAAACAATTATAGTGAAATTATAATGAAACGGAGTATTGGATGAACGAAATTTGTGTATAATAAATATGTAATAATTATGAATAAGCTTTTAAAATTAATGCTTCACTTTAATTTTTTATCATAAGGAGATAAGAATGAAATCAAAACAAGAACATTTGTCCTATCATGGAAAAAATTCTAGTGAATATAAATAGGCTCCCTAGGAGTAGCTTTTGTCATCCCAAATTGTTCTAAATTTCATATACTTTCACTAGAAAATGAATAATGTTGCAGGTAAGCAACATCCTCCTCCTCCTCCTCCTCCTCCTCCTCCTCCTCCTCCTCCTCCTCCTCCTCCTCCTCCTCCTCCTCCTCCTCCTCCTCCTCCTCCTCCTCCTCCTCCTCCTCCTTCTTCTTCTTCTTCTTTTAACATGCTACGACACATCATATATCGTCATAAATATATAGCATTTTGCAACCAGATCACATAAAGCTAAAAAGGTTTTTCTTTAATGGTTATAACCACCATCCAAGAAAATTTCCACGTTCATGAATTAGCACTATGACATTATAGTTTGTCATAAATATATAGCTTTATATGACAATTTTTTAAGATCATATAAAGCCTAAATTCTTGTGGTATATGTTGTTCGAGGCACAAATTGAAATCTCCCGCAACAATAAAATTAAGAAAATTAGAACCTTCTCATTGTATATCATTAAAATATCATTTCTTCCATTTCGTAAGGATAAATATTTGTTTTATTTGTTAATAAAATGTACAGAATCTATCGATTCTTCGCCAGCGGTGTTGGGAGATCATGTGAACATTGATGAAACATCTGAATCTGTTCGTGGCTTGCCTATTGAAGCCAAAAATGATGTAAGTAAAGTAAAACATGCTTTAGTTTATTTGTTACTACATACGTCTGATACTTCATTTTTCCGTGTACAATATTATTAGGAAGAAAGCAACAAAGATTCGGAACAACAAGAGATCAACAATGTTGTTGTTCCCTTTACTAATGAACAACCAAGGTATGGCACACTTTCTTTTATTTTTTTTGGTACTATTTATTCATTTATTCTTTTATCATATTTAATTCAGTTATTTAATGTTATTATGTGCATGATAAATAATTAAAATGTCTACAAGGTCCCTTGAAAAGCGTCAGTCAGAAGACATAAATGAAATGAGTTCAAAGAGGAAGAAGCATCATGCTTTAAGAATGAGAGCAGATAACCATCCCGATGTAATCAGAGAAAATGCAGCATTGGCAGCGAGTCGAAGCTCCACTCGAGGTAGAGCTACTCGAAGAACTACCACACCAAGAGCTCCAAAAGAATAAGGAGATGGTGGAGTCGTGAAGCAATTATGTTTAAGTTATTTAATTATATATATAAGGACAGTTATGTCTTCTGCAAGATTAGGGGTTTCTTTCAGTATTTTCAATTTAAACTCTAGTCAAGAGCCTGTACTTGCTTTTAAAAAAATTAATACAAAAATTTGGATTCTTAAATAATTTGATCTTTTCTCGTCGATATTAGATTAAGGTTTTCTTCCCAACTTTGATGTTTACACTACATTGATAGAGAAACAAATGATGTAATAAGTTTAGAACAAGTTTAACAATTGATTATTAGTTCTAGTGATAGACAAAAAGTAATTATTTTATAATCCATTTTAAGTTTGTTCTAATTAACAGTATACAACAATCTCTAGAAACTTGGGACAAAGAGAAAAAAGAGAGAGATATAAATTTCTTTCTTTTCATACTAGACAATTGTTTAAATTTAATTAGATATATGTTTATTTAGTAATCATAATTAAAATCATTCATCAATTTGATATTTGAGTAAAGTTAGTGTTAATTGAAACTAAATTAAATATTTAATTCTCGTGGTCAAACTCATACTCACCTTATTACTTGTCACAATACTGTTCATTTGCAGAGTATTAGTGCAAAATAATAAAATATATATTCAAAGTTATCATCTTATTGCAAATGTCATACTTGAATATTCATAATTATATCTTATAGTTAAGAATTATGTGTGATTATCTTTCTCTCATCCACGCATATATATGCAGGTGGAAACTGAAGAATCAATATAACTTAAGCATCAATTATGAGGTGTAACAATATTCGAGCTGTATATCACTAAAATATATAATATCACAAACACTCCACTCATAGGACAATGATATAAAACATATACATGCATATGGTTATAGGGGTATTAATTGTCGCCTCCCACCACAAATGAGTTGAGCTTTGCACACGAGCCGAACTACGAAAACCTCATATGGGCCTACTCGAAATCGATGAGTGAAAATATAAATTGATGAACCAAATCGGCTCACCTAGAGATGACAATTTATCCCACCCTGTCTCGAATGGGTCAAAAAAACACGCCCTGACGGGTTGATGGGGCCGTGAATATTAAAAAAAATTGTTTTTTCGAGTGTTTCTTTGAATATTGATGTTGATTTGAGCATTATTTATTTTGAATTTAAAATTTTTTAATTTATATTTTTTAATTTAATAGTATAACTCGAAATTTTGAAAATGTGTAAAAAAAAAAAATAATAATAATAAATGGGTCAGTAAACGGGGCAAAAAACCCGCCCCACCCCACGACCCGCCTCACCCCGTTTAAGGTGCTCCTTCCCCGCTACCATCACTAGGCTCACCCCACCAATGGGTAAGTTAGTGGGT